ATTAGTCACTCTAAGTAAGTTTCACACATTAAATATATTTTATCATTTTTTTATATTGCTCATCAATAAAAGATGGACATTTAGCTATTGCTTATAATCCAGAAATTTATGGATATGAATGTTTAAATGTTTTAATGTTTAAACACGAGAACGAGATGTTTTGGTTACTGTGTTAGCTCACCATTAATTTATTATAGATGTATGATTGGGGTTCGTCTAAACTTCTGGCGCGGTTTTCATTACCCGTAAGTTACTATTTGTATGTTTGTGTTCTGTGTGAACCTTTAGTACAGTGTTTATTCAGCACATTATTTTATCACAATCATCTTGCTACTGATGTCATATAGCCTTGTACTACCTGCGCCATGTTCTGCTGTCTTGTAGAGTTTTATTTTTACGGAAAAGGTTAGTAAAAATAAACTCTAACTTAAAACTTCCTGTCTTTGGGCTCTTGGTTGAGTAAAGACTAGAGATGGTTTTTCCATAAAATCAATCATCCTGAGCATATTTTACATTCATCCTATTACTGTTATGTAGAACGTCTTCTACACTAAGAACATAGGAATATAGAAAATAATCACACCCCTTCTTGATTGATTGACGTGGATGCAAACCTGATTTTAATTGTTTTCTGCTTAGGATGATGAATGCTAAATCCTCTTGACTCTTAGAATAGATTTTTGCTTTTTCCTCTTTAGTAGTCGGCCATGGAACTCTTTCTATTTTCTCCTTTTTTTACAAACCGTACTCTTTTCAAATCCTGTACTCTAAAAGTACTCATTTGTATAATTTCATACTCATTTGTATTTCTAAAACATTTTTTTAGATGATTTCATTTCAATTTTATTTATTAAATATTTAAAATTATGCTTGACAGTCTTGGCGCATGCGTAGTATGTACAGCAAAGTTTTTTATTTATTTAACTAAATAAAAGGATAAAAAAGCTTTGCTGTACATACTACGCATGCGCTTATGGTTAATTAACCATAAAATCAAAAATTACAAATTTAATTACAATTTGCAAATTAGATTTGGTGTCACTCATATTAAAAACTAGTCAATGGAGCGACACCTTAATAAAATAAACAAATAAAATAAAGAAGTATTAAAACAAAGTATAATAAAGAAAGTAAACTACATTAATACAAGTAATAAAAAAAGAAGTAATAATAAAGAAAGTAATAATAATAAAGAAAGTAAACTACATTAATACAAGTAATAAAAAAAGAAGTATAAGGAACAACAATATTTAAAAAGTTGGAATTAGAACAAAAATATAAAGGAGTAACGGTAAAAAAAAAGAAAAAAAAAAAGAAAGAATGAACAGATGAGATAAGATGAGTGAGAAAATATGTAAGAGAAAACAAAAATTTAATCACATAAGTTCAGAAGGATAAAGAGACAAAACAATTTTTGCAGAAAAATATAAAAAAGCAAAACAAAGGCAAATTTAAATAAAAAAAATATATACATACACTACAACATACAATATTAAAACCTATAAACTGACCGTTTTGGAAGATTCCCATCCCGGAATAAAAAATAAATTTTCAAAAGAAGTTAAAAATTTTTATAAAATTTAAACTTGACAAAAAGATGGGTAGAAATCTTTCGGCATTTTAGAGTAGAACATATCCTACATGAAAATTTAAAAGTTTTAATAGAAATTTCTTTATGTTGTCCAGGCACTAATGCTCCTGTTGAAAAGGCATTTTTACTTAGAAATGATTGAAGCAGTGAGAAGTTGTAACTTTCTATAAAAACATTATCTGCTGTCTCAACAGTCAAATTTAATATGCAAAATAAAAAAATGTTCGGATGTGGCTACATTATACGAACATCCTCATTTAGCAAAAAAAATCCACTCTGAAGAAAAATATGTTTTTAAATAAAAATAAAGTTTTCCTATATGTTTTTATATAAAATATTTATGGAGTATTTTTCTCTTTTACTATGAGCTATCAAGCTGATTAAACTGACTTGATCAGCTTCAGCTTTAATCTGAAGCTAATGAGTTTAAAGCTGAAGATGAAATATCAGCTGCAACCCCTACTTTAAAGACAACATAGTTAATGGGATGTATATACATTAAATAATACCCTGGTGGGAAATCGGCTAGCGAATAGCTAGCTGTAATCGTAACAATAAAAACAGCGATTTGGCCACAAGGATCGGCAGCTTTTTTAAGTTAGCGAAAAGCTATCGATATTTGTAAAGACAAAGACAGCAATTTGGCTACGAAGAAAGCTAGCTTAATAAGCTAAAGACCCACAGGCTTTTGTAGCTAGCGTTGTATCGTAATAAAATTGCTGTCTAAAAAATTTTATTATGCAGCTATCATTATGCTATAGATTTGTAAATATATTGTAGCTAGCTACAAAGCTACGATATGTAGCTAGCGACACATTGCTTCAAAATCGCAAAGTTTAAAGTTTAATTATTCTCATAATTATAATAGACTCAACACTTAAAATTTAATTTTTAAAGATGTTAAAGACATTAGGAAAAAAAACAATAAGAAAAAAAAAATCGCTACAAAGTTGCTATAAAACTAGCTGATCGCTCGCTAGTCGCTAGCTCATTTCCCACCGGGACATGTGTTTTTTTTTCTTAAATACTTGTTTTTTTATTTTATAATACATTTTTTAAACTCATATTTTTTTGTAATATGTAATACTTAGAAAATATTGACTTTTGCCGAATAGCCTTTAGATAAAATTAATATTTTCTTACATTATTCTAATTGAGGTAATAAACAAGGGTAATATTTACTCCAATCACAAGATATACATAGATACATATCATATAATACAAGATATACATAAGATACATAACATATAAGACCTTTTACCTGGAACTTAACATTTTATAGTGTTTAACTTATTATAACTCAATTATAATAAACAAGCATTTGGTTATAATCTATATAATAACTATTACCTATTTTTAGTTATTGTTATTTATCTTAAAGTTATCAAGTTAAATTAAAATTTTATAACTAAAGTTTGAATACAAAAGTTCATATCAATAAAAATTTTATCAGTATTATAAACATAGTATTATATTACAATTATTTACAAGTATAGTTATTGTAAGTATAAGTTATTATTATGTATATTATGAAATTATTGTTAATATTACAAGTGTACAATTTTAAATTAAATTCCAAAAACACCAATGATTAAAAAATGAGGTTGATGCATAACAATAAAGTCATTTTTTTGCATTTAAACACTTAATTATATTTTTATTTATATCTGACGGAAGGTAAACTTCGTTAACATCAGTCATTTTGCTTGCATAAAATATAGAAAAATCAATAGAGAAGAGTGGATCTGTAAAAATGATTTAAAAGCTTTAAATTCCTTAAATATAACCTATCCATCGCATTTCATTCGCTTGTTTTCTCTTCTTGAATGTTTCTGACTAAACCACTTTTTTGATCAACTTTAAAGCAGTTATTACCATCATAAGCAGATACAAAGCTTTATAATTTAAAAATGCAAACAGCGTCTCAATGAAATAGTTACTACTGTTTAATAGTTACTGGAAGATTGAATAAATACGTTAAACTTTATAAATTTATTAAGAAAAAATTAGAAAAATGGTAATAAATAAATGAAATTCTAAAACAACAACTTTCTAATGGAGTTTCACAGTCAAAAAATACATCGAAAAAAGTTTCTATTTAATTAAATTATAAATATAAATTATATTTATAAATTATAACTTTTATACATTATATTTTTTTGTATACATTATACTATAATTTATATAAAAAGTATAATTCATAAAAGTTAAACTTTTAAATTTATTTCACGCACATAACAAATTTTAAATGGAAACCATCGAGTATGTTTTGTTATGATTTTTAATTATCAGTTTAAACCTTTTGGAAACCTTAAGGAAAACCCTTAAAATCCCCAGATTCTTTGGCCCTGATAAAAACCAGATAAAACCAAAAAAAGCAAATATACTTAATTTTATTACCATATGGGACCCGTGTGGAAACCAAAAACTTACACGTCAAAATTCCGTTCCCATAAGCCCAAACAAAAACCGTACTGTGCCCGTCTGTCAATGTTGACTGGGTACATAGTATATTGATTGGGATGCGTTTTTATATGACAAGTCAAACTCTCTTCAACTTAAATCATGCTCAAAGTAACCAAAAGTATAAAACATAAAAAATCACCATTAGCATTTAAATTTTTTACTATATTTATTATAAAAATTCGTTGTGGAATGAACTTTCTATCTTTTATTCTTCCATTAAGATCCTTAAGAGATTTTTTTTTCTGATCAAATTTTTGACTTAATCTTTGTGAGACTAAATTTAAATTTACCTGTTTCTTCATCTCAGCATTGATGCCTTCTATTCTTTGATTCAACTGGGATTATTTTCTTTGTAACGGCCCTTGGGCTGATGTTGTTTTTCTCCCAGCTGATAAATGCTTCAACAACAAATTCTCTTGGATCCAAACAAGTATGGAAGTATTTATTCCTTCTTTTCAGTTATTGCAAAAATCTATGTTAAAATGTGCAGTCTGATGCTAAGTTACACTACTCCCAGTATACTAAATTTCATATCTTTATTACAAGTTAGGCTTTAGAGGTTTTATATTTTATATCTATGGGTCTAAATTAGAAATAGATCTTTATCTTTCTTCTAATTTGACTCTTGAATCTAATGGCTATACCCAACCTGCCATTTCAGTTAAAAAGTTTAACCAATTGTTAAACATCTAAATCACTCTGGCCTGCGTTGCTAAAGTCATTTTTTAAATAATATATCTTTCGGCTTTTGGTCCAGACAACATTCCTGTCATACTCTTACTTATTTGTTCCCATCCTTAATCTTTTTAAATTTATTTATATTAAACTCTTTTTTTTTCAATAGAATACAACTCCTATGAAGAGGTCCTTCAAGAAGTTCATTCAAATAAAGTTGGATATGGAGTTATCAACATTGATGCCTTAATATATACGGACTATAAAA